ATCATAGTTTGAAATTCTTGTTTTGCTATTTTTAAGCGATCTGGAGCTAACCGACGAGGTTTTGCAACCACAGGTGGACCTTTAGTTATGATATAATGAACGGTGTTGTGTTAACAGGTTGGTTAGGATCTGGTAATCTAGTAACTGAAGGAAATTCTTTTAAAATTTTGTGATATGGTGTATCACTAAATACAGTTTTTACTGAATAAATGCTTGCATTTTTCACGCAACCGACGGTTTTAAAATGCGTTTTTAAATCTTTGAGACATTTGTTTCTGAGATCAGGGACCAATTCAAAGAAATGGAGAAAATCTGCTCCAAGAATGGGTGTACTAACATTTGCTATAAGAAAAGTCCATGTAAACTGTCGTCTTAATTTGAAATCCAAAGAAAGTGTTTTTTGACCATAAACATGAATAGTAGAAGAATTAGCAGCGAAAAGTGTTTGTTGGGACGAATTCCGTTTTTGAGAATTATTTGCTGGAAGTAAGGACACGTCAGAGCCGGTATCGACCAAGAATGAAAGGTTTGTTCTACGGTCACGAACGAACAGGCGACGTGAAACTTGAGGCAAAGAATAAGTCGCCTCTATTCTTTGCTGGTTTCGTTTCCCTGCCATGAACAAGGTTTTGTACATTTGTCATCTCTACACTTTTTCCCAAAACGTCTATGATACCAGCAAACAGAATAATCTCTCCTTTTGGAATTGCTTCTCTCCTTATCGCCATCACCACAGAGTTACCCCCCAGTTCCTTTAATGGCTATTCAAAGGAACGACATAGGTTATGAAATTATCTCAGAGTATCCGTACTGTCGGGTATTTTACATGATTACAAAATTAAAATATAAAATTAGAAAAGATCAAAATGCAATTCAATATATAACAAGGTATTGACACATATAATAAAAATGAAATAAAAAGTATGTTAAGATATGAATTTAAAAAAAATGTTTTAAATTGTTATGTAAGAAGCAAGTTTCTTAGGGAAGTGAACATGTCTTCCCGATCTGGTGACAGTTTGTGTCTTAGAGAGTTCGTTTGCAGATTTATTCTGCTGAACTGTCTTTAAGTCTTTATTTGTTTTTAGTTCAGTTCAGGCAAATTAGAGTCCGAAAGCAAATAGGCTGGTTTCACACGGTCTATAGACACAGTAGATTTCAGACCGTTAATATCAATTGTGAAAGTTTTGTTCGTTCTAGAAAGGACTTTATGCGGACCTGTGTATGGTTGGCACAAGAGTGTGGCTTTACTCGATCGACACGTAAGTATACATGCGTACACGACTTTAAGGTAGCACTTACGTAACATTTTTCTTGGCAATGTGCAGATGTTGCTATTGGATTCAACTGTTGCATTCTATGCCGAAGATTCGTGATAAATTGTGTGTCATACGGAGATATCTTAGATGACGTTATCATATCACTAGGCAGCTTGAGAGTTGTGCCGTACACCAGTTCAGCACAAGATGACTGTAGATCTTCCTTTACGGCTGTCCGAATACCAAGCATAACAACTGGTAGTGTTTCAGTCCAGTTATTGGTCTCGTGAGCCTTGAGAGAAGATTTTAAATGTCGATGAAATCGTTCAACAATGCCGTTGGACATTGGATGATAGGCTGTTGTTGTGATTCTGTTCGTACCCAAAATGCGCGTAAATTCTGCAAAAAGTGCGGATCTCATTTGAGAACCTTGGTCTGAACGAGATATCCAACAGTTGAAGATGGCTCTGCAAATGGTTTCCGTTTTCATATCCGGGATGGGAATGGCTTCAGGCCATCTGGAGAATCTATCTATTAGAGTCAAAAGGTACACGTTGCCTTCTGATGGAGGTAACGGTCCGACGATATCCATATGGATTTCTGAAAAACGTGCATCAGGAAGAGAGAATGTGCCCAGTGGTGCTTTAGTATGCCTAGTAATTTTCGATTTTTGGCAAGATTCACAGGATTTCACCCAATTTTTGATATGACGTTTCATATCGGGCCATACATAACGAGAACAAATAAGCTTCGTAGTAGCTGCAATTCCTGGATGTGACAGATTATGCAGATGATTAAAGATGAGTCTGCGAAAGGAATTCGGAACAAATGGACGAGGAATGTCTGTTGATATGTCACAAAGAATATTACCATCAGAATATTGGCACGGTTTAAATTCCAGTTTCAAAGATGATGTGTGTTGTTTTTGAGAAGGTCTTGTACCTCCGGATCATGCCGTTGAGCTTCCGAAAATTTTTTTTAAAATCCAAAAATGGAGATTTTGTTATGGAATCAATTTCGATTCTTGAAAGAGCGTCAGCAACGACGTTTTTTTGAACCTTGCACATGCCTAATATCAGTAGAGTACTGAGAAATAAAATCTAAATGGCGCAATTGTCGAGGTGAACATTTATGAGGGTTCTGTTTAAAAGCGTATATTAACGGTTTTTGATCCGTATAAATTATAAAATTTCTGCCCTCTAACATGTGTCGGAATTTCTTAATTGCAGAATAAATAGAAAATAATTCCCTATCGTACGCGGACCATTTCTGTTGACTTTTATTGAGTTTCATAGAGAAAAATGCTATAGGTTCCCATGTTTGTTGAGACAACTGCATAAGTGTGCCGCCGCGATTGCGACGTCTGAGGCATCTACCCAGATGCTTATTAGCTGGGCTCCGGGAATAGGGTGTCTCAAAAGGGTAGCCTGAGCAATGGCATTTTTGGCAGCAATAAAGGCTTGTTCAGCATTCTCGTTCCAATTTAATTGTGGGGATGAATCCTGAACACGAGAACGAGATTTCTTTTTATTAATATAGCCTTCTAACAATTTTATTAAAGGAGAAAGAATATGTGCTGCTTTAGGTATGAAACATCTATAAAAGTTAAACATGCCTAAAAATCGGCGAAGCTGAGTGAGAGTGGTAGGTTGAGGAAAATCTAAAATACATTTGACTTTGTCAGGAAGAGGTTCAATTCCGTTTTCACTAAGGTGAAAACCTAAGAAATCAATAGATGTTTGACCAAAGGTGCATTTTGAAACATTTATGCAAAGTCCATATTCCTGAAGTTTGGAAAATAAAGCTTTCAAATGCCTGCAATGTTCCTCAGAATCTTTAGAGGCTATGAGCAAGTCATCGACAAAAGCGTAAACGCCTTCTAAATCCCGCGTGACTTCATCTATAAAACGTTGAAAAGTCGCAGATGCATTGCATAAGCCGAATTGCATACGGGTACTTTCGAATAAACCGAATGGTGTGCATATGGCGGTTTTGTGGATGTCGGCTGGGTTAATTGGTATTTGATGGTATGCCTTAATCAGGTCGACATGACTAAAAATTTTAGTACCGTGCAATGCAGCAGTAAAATCGGCTAAGCATGGAATAGGGTATTTGTCTTTTATTGTTTGAGCGTTCAATGCTCGATAATCTCCTACAGGTCTCCATTCCAGACTTCCCTTTTTTGGAACCATGTGAAGTGGGGATGCATAATTGCTGCTCGAAGGTCTCAAATGCCCCAATTGCATCATAGTTTGAAATTCTTGTTTTGCTATTTTTAAGCGATCTGGAGCTAACCGACGAGGTTTTGCAACCACAGGTGGACCTTTAGTTATGATATAATGAACGGTGTTGTGTTTAACAGGTTGGTTAGGATCTGGTAATCTAGTAACTGAAGGAAATTCTTTTAAAATTTTGTGATATGGTCTAAATGCAATAATAAATTGCGGTTAATTACGGGACTTTAAACTATTTTAAATGGACTTTTAAAGACTCATCTTAGACTAAAATTTTAGGATCTTGCGAGGGTCGATTTTTGTGAACAAAATCCATTTGTTAGTTTTCTAGGGGGACAGGGGAGCCTGGTTTTGGGGGACTGTAAGTTTATTAGATTTCTAGAATCTGAGCTCTGTGAAAAAGAAATTTGATTGTCCCAGTTTAGACTAAAATTTACGGGGCTTATTAGTACCCCAGCGCACAAAACTAGGGTCGATTTTAGCTTGGCGAACATAACTGAACGGGGTTGCAAGGGGGGCAAAAGTGGCCTTTTTTTGAGCTCAAATCAATAGTTTTCGAGATAATTCAGGTTAATTTCGGGAATTTAAACTATTTTAAAAGGGATCTTAACTATCGGACTTGGATTAAACTTGTACGGATCTTGTTAAGGTCGACTATTGTGAAGAAAATGGAGGGTTAAAGGGGCCAAAGGAGTGTTATTTTTGAGAGGTAAGATAAGTAGATTTCTGGATAAACGGGTGACTTTGATTGAATCTAAGGTTAGTGAAAATGCAATTTGATAGTCGCAGTCTAGACTAAAATTTACGGGGCTTGTTAGTTCCCAGCGCACAAAAGAAGGGTCGATTTTAGCTTGATGAACATAACTGACGGGGTTGCTAGGGGGCCAAATGTGGCCTTATTTTTGAGCTAAAACTAATAGTTTTCGAGATAATTGAGGTTGATTTCGGGACTTTAAGCTATTTTAAGAGATCTTTTAAATATCGGAATTGAACTAAAATTTACGAATCTTGCTAGGGTCAATTAATGTGAAGAAAATGTAGTTGTTTATTTACTAGGGGTCCAAAGGAGGTTTGTTTTTGGGAGGTAACATAAGTAGATTTCTAGATAAATGGTTGATTCGAATCTAAGGTTAGTGAAAATGCAATTTGATAGTCGCAGTTTAGACTAAAATTTACGGGTCGACTTTGGTTTGGAGAATACAACTAATTGGAGCTAATTGCTAGATCTGGGTTGAATTTGATATATGTGAAAAATCTGTCATGTCAACGGGAACGTTTTGAACACAAGAAAGGTATCGTTATTATTGCAATTTGCAGCAATGTTTTTTGGCGTGATCGGTATAACCCTCAAGCTACGGCATCAAAGATCGCGAGTTCGATTCCCGCTCAAACAGTTCAAAACGAAAAATGGGCTCGCTTTAGTGGCGCCATCTACTAGCAGACATAACAACTAATAAAATACTCTGGACATAAAAGACTGTAATAAAGTATTGAAATTAAAATCAAGGACATATTATCAAATGGCTGAATTAGTGGATAGATACCCCGTAATTAATAAACCAATAAGAATAGCAATATGGAATGCCAATGGTCTCCTTAGAAGATTGGATGAACTGCGAGAATTTTTGAGGAATCATGATATAGACATTGCCATAATTACAGAGACACATGCCTCCAAAAATCGTCAATTCAGTATTCCAAACTACTGTTCTTACGGATGTGAACGTGTGAACTCTCGTGGTGGAGGTGTCATGCTATATGTAAAACAAGATTACGAATCACATCTCATCAAACAAAGCCGCGAATACGGCTGCGAACTTGTTACTGCCAGTGTTGTCTTGCCGATATACGGGAAGATTAACTTTAGTGCATTCTATAATCCTCCAAAAAATACACTCAGCGACGAAATTCTAAATTCAATCCTCCCTTCAGAGACTCCTACTATTGTGGCTGGTGACTTCAATGCAAAACACAAGTCTTGGAAATGTCGAAAGAGTAATAAAAATGGGAGAGTGTTACATACCTACATAATCGAGAGGAATCGGATTAAGATTCATGCTCCCAATGAATATATTTACAGATCGCGCAGGAATGAATTCTCAGATATCCTCGATATATCACTCTCTAACACTGAAATTCCCATCACTCTGAACGTCAAGAATGAACTTAGCTCGGACCACCTTCCAATAGTTGCTATATTGGGAGACATACGTTAAATCAAACCGCTTACGAACTGGAGACCCTCATTTAATGCATAATAATGCTCCAAATTTCCAGAGTTAAATGGTCTAAATGCAATAATAAATTACGGTTAATTACGGGACTTTAAACTATTTTAAATGGACTTTTAAAGAGTCATCTTAGACTAAAATTTTAGGATCTTGCGAGGGTCGATTTTTGTGAACAAAATCCATTTGTTAGTTTTCTAGGGGGACAGGGGAGCCTGGTTTTGGGGGACTGTAAGTTTATTAGATTTCTAGAATCTGAGCTCTGTGAAAAAGAAATTTGATTGTCCCAGTTTAGACTAAAATTTACGGGGCTTATTAGTACCCCAGCGCACAAAACTAGGGTCGATTTTAGCTTGGCGAACATAACTGAAGGGGTTGCAAGGGGGGCAAAAGTGGCCTTATTTTTGAGCTCAAATCAATAGTTTTCGAGATAATTCAGGTTAATTTCGGGAATTTAAACTATTTTAAAAGGGATCTTAACTATCGGACTTGGATTAAAATTTACGGGTCTTGATAAGGTCGACTATTGTGAAGAAAATGGAGGGTTAAAGGGGCCAAAGGAGTGTTATTTTTGAGAGGTAAGATAAGTAGATTTCTGGATAAACGGGTGACTTTGATTGAACCTAGGGTTAGTGAAAATGCAACTTGATAGTCGCAGTTTAGACTAAAATTTACGGGGCTTGTTAGTTCCCAGCGCACAAAAGAAGGGTCGATTTTAGCTTGGTGAACATAACTGACGGGGTTGCTAGGGGGGCAAAAGTGGCCTTATTTTTGAGCTAAACCTAATAGTTTTCGAGATAATTGAGGTTAATGTAAGGAATTTAAACTATTTTAAAAGGGATCTTAACTATCGGACTTGGATTAAAATGTACGGATCTTGTTAAGGTCGACTATTGTGAAGAAAATGGAGGGTTAAAGGTGCCAAAGGAGTGTTATTTTTGAGAGGTAAGATAAGTAGATTTCTGTATAAACGGGTGACTTTGATTGAATCTAAGGTTAGTGAAAATGCAATTTGATAGTCGCAGTCTAGACTAAAATTTACGGGGCTTGTTAGTTCCCAGCGCACAAAAGAAGGGTCGATTTTAGCTTGGTGAACATAACTGACGGGGTTGCTAGGGGGGCAAAAGTGGCCTTATTTTTGAGCTAAAACCTAATGGTTTTCGAGATAATTGAGGTTAATGTAAGGAATTTAAACTATTTTAAAAGGGATCTTAACTATCGGACTTGGATTAAAATGTACGGATCTTGTTAAGGTCGACTATTGTGAAGAAAATGGAGGGTTAAAGGTGCCAAAGGAGTGTTATTTTTGAGAGGTAAGATAAGTAGATTTCTGTATAAACGGGTGACTTTGATTGAATCTAAGGTTAGTGAAAATGCAATTTGATAGTCGCAGTCTAGACTAAAATTTACGGGGCTTGTTAGTTCCCAGCGCACAAAAGAAGGGTCGATTTTAGCTTGATGAAAATAACTGACGGGGTTGCTAGGGGGGCAAATGTGGCCTTATTTTTGAGCTAAAACTAATAGTTTTCGAGATAATTGAGGTTGATTTCGGGACTTTAAGCTATTTTAAGAGATCTTTTAAATATCGGAATTGAACTAAAATTTACGAATCTTGCTAGGGTCAATTAATGTGAAGAAAATGTAGTTGTTTATTTACTAGGGGTCCAAAGGAGGTTTGTTTTTGGGAGGTAACATAAGTAGATTTCTAGATAAATGGTTGATTCGAATCTAAGGTTAGTGAAAATGCAATTTGATAGTCGCAGTTTAGACTAAAATTTACGGGTCGACTTTGGTTTGGAGAATACAACTAATTGGAGCTAATTGCTAGATCTGGGTTGAATTTGATATATGTGAAAAATCTGTCATGTCAACGGGAACGTTTTGAACACAAGAAAGGTATCGTTATTATTGCAATTTGCAGCAATGTTTTTTGGCGTGATCGGTATAACCCTCAAGCTACGGCATCAAAGATCGCGAGTTCGATTCCCGCTCAAACAGTTCAAAACGAAAAATGGGCTCGCTTTAGTGGCGCCATCTACTAGCAGACATAACAACTAATAAAATACTCTGGACATAAAAGACTGTAATAAAGTATTGAAATTAAAATCAAGGACATATTATCAAATGGCTGAATTAGTGGATAGATACCCCGTAATTAATAAACCAATAAGAATAGCAATATGGAATGCCAATGGTCTCCTTAGAAGATTGGATGAACTGCGAGAATTTTTGAGGAATCATGATATAGACATTGCCATAATTACAGAGACACATGCCTCCAAAAATCGTCAATTCAGTATTCCAAACTACTGTTCTTACGGATGTGAACGTGTGAACTCTCGTGGTGGAGGTGTCATGCTATATGTAAAACAAGATTACGAATCACATCTCATCAAACAAAGCCGCGAATACGGCTGCGAACTTGTTACTTACTGCCAGTGTTGTCTTGCCGATATACGGGAAGATTAACTTTAGTGCATTCTATAATCCTCCAAAAAATACACTCAGCGACGAAATTCTAAATTCAAATTCAATCCTCCCTTCAGAGACTCCTACTATTGTGGCTGGTGACTTCAATGCAAAACACAAGTCTTGGAAATGTCGAAAGAGTAATAAAAATGGGAGAGTGTTACATACCTACATAATCGAGAGGAATCGGATTAAGATTCATGCTCCCAATGAATATATTTACAGATCGCGCAGGAATGAATTCTCAGATATCCTCGATATATCACTCTCTAACACTGAAATTCCCATCACTCTGAACGTCAAGAATGAACTTAGCTCGGACCACCCTCTCCAATAGTTGCTATATTGGGAGACATACGTTAAATCAAACCGCTTACGAACTGGAGACCCTCATTTAATGCATAATAATGCTCCAAATTTCCAGAGTTAAATGGTTTAAATGCAATAATAAATTGCGGTGAATTACGGACTTTAAACTATTTTAAATGACTTTTAAAGATTCATCTTAGACTAAAATTTTAGGATCTTGCGAGGGTCGATTTTTGTGAACAAAATCTATTTGTTAGTTTTCTAGGGGTACAGGGTAGCCTGGTTTTGGGGGGCTGTAAGTTTATTAGATTTCTAGAATCTGAGGTCTGTGAAAAAGAGATTTGATTGTCCCAGTTTAGACTAAAATTTATGGGGCTTGTTAGTCTCCAGCGCACAAAATTAGGGTCGATTTTAGCTTGGCGAAGATAACTGAAGGAGTTGCAAGGGGGGCAAAAGTGGCCTTATTTTTGAGCTAAAACCAATAGTTTTCGAGATAATTGAGGTTAATTTCGGGAATTTAAACTATTTTAAAAGGGATCTTAAATATCGGACTTGGATTAAAATTTACGGATCTTGCTAATGTCGACTATTGTGAAGAAAATGCAGGGTTAAAGGGGCCAAAGGAGTGTTATTTTGAGAGGTAAGATAAGTAGAAGTTTAAGTAGGAGTTTAAGACTCCTCCTTTATGTTACGAAAATACGATATGTCATCAGCCGGCATTGTGATGTTGCTATGACTACATAGTATGACGGCAGAATGAAAAAAAAAGGCTGTTACTGACTTTTTTAAAAAATGTTTATGTTACGTACACTGTACAGCACCTCTTTTATATTACAGGTACGTGTTTTCAAGTTTCTAGTACGTATCATATTTAATGATACGTGTATACCTGTACATTCGAAGGTAGATGTATTTTATAGCGCTGTGTACCTGCATGAATCAATTCTTAAAAACTATTTAAATCTCAAGAGTATGTACAAAAGACTATTTAAATCTCAAGAGTATGTACAAAAGACTATTTAAATTCTCTTTGTGCTAGCGTCGCTGACTGCCGAGCCGGAGGTCTCGGGCTCGAATTCCGGAGAAGGCATGGATGTTTGTAAATGTATAGTGCCCGTGCGGCATGGGCGCACGCTGAATATGCGTCGAGCCGAAAGTCCTATCAAGAGGTTAATGGTAGGGGAAGAGGGGGAGTCTCTCGGACCAGTCCCCCTGGATCCTCACGTTCAAAATTATGGGAAAACTCAGCAAAGTAAATTTGCCAAGTTTAAATGCGCCAATTCTAGAATAATGAAAATGTTTATCTCATAATTTAATCTGATAATTGAGGTATTCCTAATGAAAAAAATCAATTTGTAAATTAAATCATTATGTCAGATCCGATCAAAAGCTTTTTCTATATCTAAAACGTAGGCTGCTATGCATGATTTATTAGTAAAGGCTTCTCCTATTGTTTCAATGACGTTTAAAATTTGTGTAGTAGTTGAATGTTCGTGTCTGAAGCCGAACTGGTCATTTTTGATGATATTATTTTTCGAAATATAATCATTGAGTTGTACTCTGATAACTTTTTCAAAGATCTTGCCCAGACAAGATAATAATAATAAGCTTATAGGGCGATAATTGGTAAGATTTTTAGGATCTTTGTTGGTTGTTTGGGGTTGGTTGTTTGGGAAATGTTTTTTAAAAATGTATTCTTTTCATATACTTAGGAATATGAAGTACTGTAGAAAAAGAAAATATATACATTTATATGTATATTTACGACGTAATTACAAAATATTTACATCCGATCGTGTCAAAAACCCATTAATTTTAATGGTGAATCACCCAACGTTTTGGTCACCAGTAAATGGATCGCTAGTGCTTCAAAGCAGTGTACGGGAGAAACCGGTTAGAACCACTCCTTATTACTTCCTACCTCCATGTTTAAGACTCGGGTAGAGGGGGGAACGAGAGGTGATTATCAACACGATTGTCCGTGATAGCATACCGAGCATGGAGGTAGGAAAGGGAGGAGGGGCCAACCCGCGCTAAAAGTGAAGCACTGCTTTGAAGCTTGGGTCACCAGATGGGGTGTTCTTTGTTTACATTCAGAAGCTCGCTTGACAAGATTCTGATAGTATTTCGACACACGACAGTTCCATAGAAATCGAAAAAGGGACACTTTCGCATGAAAGAAA